GCCTTACTAAAGTCTAGGTATACCACATCCACTGCTTCTCCCTTATCCACAAGACTCGTTATCCTATTAAAGAAAGCTATTAGATTGGTTTGACATGATTTGTTCTTTACAAATCCATGCTGGCTGTTCCCTATCACCTTGCCACTTTCCAAGTGTTTACAGATGATTTCCTTAATTACTTGCTCCATTATCTTCCCTGGCACAGAAGTTAAACTAACTGGTCTGTAGTTTCCTGGGTTGTTCTTATTTCCCTTTTTATAGATGGGCACTATATTTGCCCTTTTCCAGTCCTCTGAAATCTCTCCTGTCTCCCATGATTTTCCAAAGATGATATCTAGAGGCTCAGATATCTCCTCTATCAGCTCCTTGAGTATTTCATCAGGAGCATTTCATCAGGCCCTGGTGACTTGCAGGCATCTAACTTTTCTAGGTGATTTTTAACTTGTTCTTTTTTTATTTTACCTTCTAAAACTACCCCCTTCCCACTAGCATTCATTGTGTTAGACTGTTAACCTGTGCTGCTGCCTGTGTTGTCACAATTAAACTTCTGGTTTTGACATACTCATTGGGTGAGAACTAGCACGAGTAGGCCCGTGCATGCTAGAACTCAGTCTTCTACTTCCAAGTGCAGACGTAGCCTTAGAGAAGCGTACTGCCTCTTAAGTCCTAGCATTTCCAGAGGCACTCATTTTGCTCATGCAAAATCTTTTTTTTTTTTTATATAACATACCTTTGCTTTTCCTTGTGTGCAAAGGTTTGAGGCTGTGGCCTTGGCCAGAGATGGCCCCCAGGGCCACTAATGCTTCTGGAAGAACAAATCCTCCATCTCCAATACACTTACCAGTGCAGCTCACAAAGTTGGCCATAATTTAGTTAACTTTTTTGGTCGTGGACATCCAACACTCTGGTCATCTGAAGGAAGTGGGCTGTGCCCATGAAAGCTCATGATACCATCTACATGTTTTGTTAGTCTTTAAAGTGCTACCAGACTGTTGTTTTTTTACATTTACTTGTGAAATATGTTGGGGAGAAGAGTGCAGTGTACCCTCTTGTCCTCCTTTGTTAGAGAGATCATCATCCTTTTGAATTTTTAGGCAGGAAGCATATGATTGATAGAAGAATCTAGGCTGGAAGGAAGAAGCAATCTTGTCAGCCGACGGTCAGGGCAGTGTGTGTGTGTGTGTGTGTGTTTCCGAGAAAAGGTTTAACGTCCGTGCCTTTACTGCTAGGACTGGGGTCCCATCGCAGAGGGTGGCCAGCAGGCCAACAGACGCCCCGTTATATAGGAAGAGCTTATTACACCTTAGATTTTAGCTGCTAGAACACAGGAGGTTCCTTCGCAGAGGGCAGCCTAGGAAAGGCTGAAAAGGTGCCCCAACGGATCTTGTCACCTGGGAGTGACACAGATCCAAACGCCCAAGCTCTCCCTATGTCTGTCCCTTTATGACCGGCTGAAGTTCTTTTAAATTGTGCTTGGTTCTGTTACAGCAACTGAAGGAGTCAGGTTAAAGCTTAAACAGTTACAGGTTTATTGAGGAAGCTTATAAATCATATGGTTGCAATGGCTATTGTTCTATTTCTTAACTATTAGCAAAATATAGGTCTTAAAAATGGTTACAAAGAAGATAAAGATAGAAAAATAGAAATAATGGTACCAAGTAACAGCTTACTCTTTCTATGTGTACACTTAAGACAGAGGACCACATCCAGGTACCATTTTTACCCCCTTCTGTGCCTCTCGACTCCAGCATGTCAGGCCAGGGCCGGTCCCTCAATTCCTAGGAAAGACGAAAATACGAGGTGGGCGTCCCCATAGAACCTCGGGAGGTCAAACACCTAACCCGACCAGCAGGTAGAGGGTAGAATGACACTCAAAGTGAGTGTGTGCTGGGCCCATCTTTTATAATCATGAGGTCACGTATTTCTCTTTCTTATCTGTCATGCCAAATGGGGCTGGTCTGTCTTTTGTGAGACCAGTTCTTACAAGGGAGTTGTGAACTTAATTTACACTTGTAAGAGAGAATTGAGATGATTAAATTGGAAGTACTGGGCATTCTTTTCTCAGTGGGGGATTCCTCTCCCAGGGACTGTGTGTTCGTATCAACATGACCTCGGGAGGTCAAACACCTAACCTGACCAGCAGGTAGAGGGTAGAATGACACTCAAAGTGAGTGTATGCTGGGCCCATCTTATATACTCATGGGGTCACGTATTTCTCTTTCTTATCTGTAATGCCAATTGATGCTGGTCTGTCTGCTGTGAGACCAGTTCTTACAAGGGAGTTGTGAACTTAATTTACACTTGTAAGAGAGAATTGAGATGATTAAATTGGAAGTACAGGACATTGTTTTCTCAGTGGGAAATTCTTGTTAGTCTTTAAAGTGCTACATTGTCCTGCATTTTGCTTCAACTACCCCAGACTAACACGGCTACATTTCTATCACTCTCAGGGACTGTGTGTGTGTTCGAATCAACATAGGTGCCAGCCGGTGGCAGTCTCACATATCCTGATCTCTCCTCATATCTATGTTTCAGCTTCTTAGGATCAAATGAGCCAGCATAGACTATGCTGATTTTATTGCTCCTTCTCTGTCCTGTATGCTTCAGGAAGGCAAATAAGATGGATGATATGGAGGCGGGCTGTCTGGCCACAAATCTATAAATATATTTTTACTTTTCATGAGATAAAATAATGTAAATATGGACTCTCACTGTGTTTTGAAAATTAGGAACAAGAACTTGTGAAGACTGTAGGAATTAAATATGAAGTTGGACCTCCTACGCTTTGCTGCTTGAAGCTTGCCTTTCTTGATCCAATCTCAGGCAAAATGACAGGAGAATCTTTTTCCATTAAGTGAGTGACTGACTAAATCGTTTCTCCAAACAACCCAAATATCCTTACAAATATTTGAGAATCCCTTTGTTCTGATTTTGCAGTTGAAGGTTTCATGTAAAACACTTGTAATTACTGCAATGAGCATGAAAAAATATTTCAAAACCAAAAATATTGGCTGTGGGAGCAGTATCTTATTTCAAAGTAAGGATGTTTTCTGTTATTTACAGGTACCATGATATGCCAGATGTTATTGATTTCCTTGTGTTGCATCAGTTTTATAATGAAGCCAAAGAAAGGAACTGGCAGATTGGTAAGTACCCTTTTACCATATCCATATGTGTGGCATGCTGAATACCAGTACTGAACAGATGTAATTCATTCTTTATTATAAATCTAAAATGTAAATATTTGCCCAGTTTTAAAGAAAGAGGCACTCATAAGTCATTGGCTGTTCACTTTTAAATGTTCTGGTATCTTTCAAGTGTCATCTTTTCTTTGAGAACATTCTAACATGTTTAATGTAAACTAGACCACAAAAGATCTTGTTTTATTTTCTAGCATTTAAACTTTCTTAAAAAATCATAGCCTCTCACTTCTACAATCTCATAAATAATATCTGATTGTGTTAAACTTGAACACTCAGATATGCTGCTGATAGGAGCCATATAAATACCCACACATAATACGATTGTGACTTTCAGATAAACAGTTTGTATTTGTGATCCACTATTACCTAATTAGCAGAGGCTGGTGAAATTGTGAACTTGGTCAGTACCAAATTATGTAAATTACACTGAATTGTCTAACGTCTACTAGATGAGGAGTATTAAATCTTTATGGCACCACTGGAAACTATGCTTTCTGTCTGCCCATCAGCAAGGTGACTAACATCACAGCAGCAGTAAGAGGAGAGGAGAGGAGAGGAAGATAAACATATATCAAAATTGGAGGAGAAAGTCAGTAGGTCCATAATGACCAGAAGAATCTACTGCTAGGGTCTAAGGCTAGGGGAAAGCACTGTCAATCTCCAGAAATGTAAAGTTGCTCTCCTTGAGCCTTTTTTTTTTTTTTTTTTTTTGGCCCGTTTGCTGATATGATGCTTGGGGTAGACGTAGAGATTCCTGTAAATTATAAGTAAGGTAATTTAACTGTTACATAAGAAATGGATAGATTATTATCTTCATTACTGCATTACTAAATTTTGTTTTTATTATTATTATAGGGGATAGGTTTCGGAGTATAATCGATGATGCTTGGTGGTTTGGAACTGTGGAGAGTCAGCAGCCATTCCAGGCAGAATATCCTGATAGTTCCTTCCAGTGCTACAGTGTTCAGTAAGGATTACTATAGTTGCAGTAAATGAGACATATCTAAGTACTACTTGGTCGCTTCTCTGTGTATTATATGTAACTTACATATGTGCATCAAGGGGAAAAAATTGGATGAATAAACAGCGCACATTTTCTGTGACTTCCCTAACCTCAAAACTATGATTTTGTAATTGCTTAATATGAATTAAAGTTCCAGACAACTATGCTGAATTCCTGGTTCCTGATACATTAGAATTGCCTTACCAGATCAGACCATAGTCTTTCTCATCCAGTATCCTATTTTTGACAATAGCACCAGATGCTTCAGTAGAAGGTGCCACACAATTGTGTAGTAGGAATTATGAAATAACCTGTTCATAGGGAAGACTTCATTTTTATGCTGGTCAGTACAGGCAGTCCCCGGGTTACATAGATCCGACTTACATCAGATCCCTACTTACAAACGGGGTGAGGCAACCCCGCACTAGCTGCTTCCCCCCAGCAGACCAGGGAGACGCGGAGCGGCTTTTCTCAGCAGACACCTCAGCATGAGAATAAAGGACTGAGGGAAGTGAGGTGTGGGAGAATAAAACTGAGCTCTGGAGAAATGTTTGGCTAGAGTTTCCCCTACAATATGTACCAGTTCCGACTTACATACAAATTCAACTTAAGAACAAACCTACAGTCCCTATCTTGTACGTAACCCGGGGACTGGCTGTAGTTGTCTTTTATGCTCCAGAGCATGAGGCTTTAATTTTTTTTAATTACTCCTTTCTAATTGTCTACATAAGTATAGAATTCCTTTAAGAATCCTGCTGAGCTTTAGTTTCACTGACCATGTTGAAGTTTATGATTTGTCTTTTTTAATGTGTTTCTTTTTATTTGTTTTTAACTTTATGCCTTTTATTTTCACTGTCTGTCCCCTAACTAGTTTTGTTTTGAGGGTACATCGTAACATCTGATTTCTTCTATATACTATTCATTATTTTGTATACATTTGTGTCATTATTATTAGTCTCCTTTCTGACTGTCCCAATCTTTGTAATTTGTTTCTCATAGGCTACGTTTATACTGCAAGGTTTTTGTGCAAAAATGGCGGTTTGGGCAAAAACCTGCTGAGCATCCACACCTCAAATGCACTTTTGCACAAGTAAATCAGCAGTAAAACGGCAGAACAGAGGGCTTTTGCAGGTGTAGATAAACCTCCTTCTATGAGGCATAACTCCCTTTTGCGCTACAGTTATTGTGCAAAAGTGCAAGTGTGGATGCTCCAGAGGGGTTTCTTGCGCAAGAAAGCACTTTGGGAAAAAGCACAGGTGCTCTGATGGCCATTGTGTGGATGATCATCAGAGCTTTCTTGCGCAAGAGCATCCATGCAATGTAGTCGCTCACTTGGGCAAAAGCACATCACTTTTGCAATGTGCTTTGACGTGTGGACGTGCTCTTGTGCAAGAAGTTTTTGCACAAGAAGCCTGCAGTGTAGACGTAGCCAAAAGGAAGACTTTCCATGCATCTAATCATTTTCATACCTGTCTCTGGACCCCTTGTTTCTGTTACGTGTTTGCTACATATTCAGCAGATGAAATTCAAATCAGTCACTGGTTATAAAAATAATCTGTGGTTAGTGATTACAAAAATGTTTTGATTTTTTTTCCCTAGTGGCATTAGTTATTAATTGCGGTAAATCAATCTTCCCAAGCACTAGCCAAATACATAGCTGGGATTTGACCAGTACAGGTGGGACCTCCCTGGTCCAAAACTCTCAGGACCTGAGTGGTCCTAAACCACAGAGTTTGCCGGACCAGGGGAGGTCAAGGCTCCCTTCGCCCTGCTTCTTGCCATCGGCTCCACTGCCCCCAGCCCTGCTGGGGCTGTGATAACCGCTGTGCTGGGGCTCCAGTCCGGGCTGCTATGCTGCTTCCAGCCTGTCCAGGGCTGCACTTCCTCCTGTACCGGCCCTGGCTAGGGCCGTGCTGTCGGTGCCCACCGAACAGGGTTGTGCTCATGGGTACCAGCCCCGCTGCCTCCGGCCTGGACGGGACTGCCCTCTCCACCATTCTGGCCCTGCTACTGCTGAGGCTACACTCCCCACCACCAGCCCAGCTCCTGAACTTAGCCAGCTGGGGCTCTCTGGTCCAGTATTGTCTGTGGTCCTGTTGGACCATGGATGTTGCTGGACCAGAGTGTCTCGGATTTTAGAGGGTTAACCTGTACATTGTTTACTAGAAATTAGGGATCTTAGATAGCATTTAATTGAATAGTCGTGTAAACATTAAAATTCGATGCGATTACATGACTATTTGATTGTGCCTGGGGATGGGGACAGCAGCCAGTGTGCTCCCAGCCCCATTCCCGGAGAGCATTCTTCCACTCCAGAAGCAGCAGTGTGGGGTGACAGGCGGGAGCTGGCCCGCAGGGGAGCTGGTTTGAAAACTCAGACCCCCTCATGGACAGGGGCTGCTGCCCGAGCCCAGCATGATCGATGCGATTACATGACTATTTGATTGTGCCTGGGGATGGGGACAGCAGCCAGTGTGCTCCCAGCCCCATTCCCGGAGAGCATTCTTCCACTCCAGAAGCAGCAGTGTGGGGTGACAGGCGGGAGCTGGCCCGCAGGGGAGCTGGTTTGAAAACTCAGACCCCCTCATGGACAGGGGCTGCTGCCCGAGCCCAGCATGAACAGAGGCTGCTCTGCAGCATCCTTCGCTGCCTCCCTCCCATGCTGCT